TCCGCTCCTGGCCACTGCAGCCTCGACCTGCTGGGCTCTGGCGATCCTTCCGCCTCAGCCTTCCAAGTAGCTGGAATTACAGGTGCACGCTACCACGCCCAGCTCATTTTTTGATTTATTGTAGAGATGAGGTCTAACCAAGTTGCCCAGGGGGGTCTCGAACCCGCGGGCTCAGGCAGTCCACTCACCTCAGCCTCCCAAGATGCAGGATTACAGGCTGAGCCACCGAGCCTGGCTGGCATTATCTTCTGTAGCCCTCACATTTAATCTCTTTCCGTTGGTTTTAGAAAATAGAAGCAAGAGAAAATCCTGGTCCTTTGGTGATGTAGTTACTTGTGTTCTCCAGAGACAGAAGAAAAAGAAAAAACATAAAAAATTTCAAAGAACATATTGGTAATGAAGTTCTGTAGAAGGAAGGAGCTGAACTGAGGGGGTGAACGTGTGATAAATTTGTTAACTTTTCCACCAACAGACTTTTCTTTTGGATTCCTTGTTACATTGCCATGGTCTCACTAACATTCTTGGGAAATCAGGGCACAGTCAGAACATTTGGCAGCCAGCTGAGTATGTTCTACTCAGATATTTCTAGAACATTTGGCTACATGGTGGGTGGGTTCCACCTGGCTGCTTGTATAAAATTGGCATCATGGTGGAAGGAGCTGGACACAAAAGCACATGACATAGTATGGGAGCCTTTCAAGGTGGCATTTTCTCAATCTTTTATTTACAGAATGTGGCTGACATTAAGAAACTGAAGTCAGTAGGAATCTGTACCATCAAGGGGATACAGATGACAACAAGAAGAGCCCTGTGCAATGTCAAAGGACTCTCAGAAGCCAAAGTGGACAAGATTAAAGAGGCAGCCAACAAACTTATTGTAAGCAAGATTCACTCTTTGCTGTTTTAGCTTAGAAGGGCCTTGTGAATCTGTGTAGCCTTTCTCAGTGTGAATACTAGAAACTATTGTGAGAACTCTGAGTTACTGTAGATCACGATATATTGTATGCCCCATGTTAGCACTTCATCACTTCAGTTTCAAAGCAACAGCAATACATTTCTGAAAGACTGAGGTAGGGATTAATAGACCTGGAACACTAGTGAAGGTAATTATTTTTTACCAAAACTCTTCCTTTTGTCTCCCTTTCTATTAATTTTTCTGGCTTTCTGTTTCTGTTTCTTTCCTGCTCCTTTCCATTTTTATTTTTTACCTTCTTATTTTGTCTTGTCTCATCAAGTACCATACCTATGGCTATTGCAAAGCACATGGTCCCAATAAAGTTGCTCTTTCTTGGTATAGTCCAATTGGTAAGAGAGCATTGGGTTAGAAAAAGACTAACAGTGGTTAGGTCTATGTATGTGCAGTTTAGATAGATAGGATCAATAATATGCTTACTGAGACAGCCGAACTAAAATAACTCGTACCTTCTAGCTGGATCCATAGACTAACCAGTTCCTACTAAACTGCCAGCAAAAGTATATATGTCTTATTTTGTTTTGGTTTTTTTGAGTCTGCATCTCACTCTGTTGCCCAGGTTGGAAGGCAGCGGCATGCTCATGGCCACCACAGTCTCGACCTGCTGGACTCAGGCGATCCTTCTGCCTCAGCCTTCCAAGTAGCTGAAACCACAGGCATGCACAACCACACTTGGTCAATTTTTTATTTATTGTAGAGACAAGTTCTCACCAAGTTGCCCAGGCTAGTCTTGAACCCCTGAGCTCAGACAATCCTCCCACCTAGCCCTCCCAAAATACTGGGATTACAGGTTTAAGCCACCACGCCCAGCATATACATGTCTTTGACCTACACTTTTATGTAGAGTCTTTGGGGATCTCCAGATGTACCAGCTCTGGAAATAGGAGTGTACAGAAAGGTGGTTACTAAGTCTCCCTCTTCATAGAAGAGCAAGCTTCTCATTTCTCCATTTATATGGGAGGGTCTCATTCCCAGGAAGTCTAAGAAGCTCTCTTCACCAAAAGTCATTTGGTTTTCTTCTTTAGAGGTAGTCAAGACAGGAGAGTAATGCAAGGGGCCGTGTGATCCTGAATTTGGAAAGGACCCAACTGATCTACTTGGCTCAGTTGCTCTAGTTTCTGGGTACAGTCAGGTAGTGTACCCACGGTCAATTTCATAACTGCCAGGGTGTCTAAGGAAGACCTAGGACATTACCCAGGGTTTGGGAAACTGCTATGTTATGGCTCCTAGATGTTAGACTTCTTTTCTTTGAAAACTAAAACTCCTTACCAAAGAAAAGAGTCTCTCATCTTCTCAAGTACCCTACTGCACCTAGAAGTTTCTCCTTTCTTTATTTTTATTTTTATTTTAAAGATGTGGGGTACAATTCAGGGTTAGGTATACAAATGTTCATTATGCTGGTACCCTTGTTGATGAGGTGTGCCCCTGCTTCCCCAGGCAGATTCCCACTACTGCCAATCCCGCTCCCCACCCCACAGTTTCCCACTACTGCCAATTATTTTCTTATAGTATTACAATAATTACATAAGGTCCACTTATGAGTGAAAACATGTGATACTCAGTTCTTTGTTTCTGTGAAAGATCACTCAATATTATAGACTTTAAGTCCATCCAGTTTGCTGTGAAGTTCATGACTTTGTTCTTTTTTTTTTGAGTTGGAGTCTCACTCTGTCACCCAGACTGGAGTGCAGTGGCCACTCCCCGCCACCGCAGCCTCGACCTGCTGGGTTCCAGCGATCCTTCCGCCTCAGCCTTCCAAGTAGCTGGAACTACAGGCGCATGCTACCACGCCCGGCTAATTGATTTTGTTCTTTATAGTTGCACAATATTCCATCATGTATATGTACCACATTTATTTTATTTTATTTTATTTTATTTTTATTTTTTGAGTTGGAGTCTCACTCTGTCGCCCAGACTGGAGTGCTGTGGCTGCTCCCGGTCACCACAGCCTCGACCTGCTGGGCTCCAGCGATCCTTCTGCCTCAGCCTTCTGAATAGCCAGAATTACAGGCACGCGCTACCACGCCTGGCTAATTTTTTGATTTATTGTAGAGATGAGGTCTCGCCAATTTGCCCAGACGGGTCTCGAACTCGCGGGCTCAGGCAATCCACTCACCTCAGCCTCCCAAAGGCGCGGGATTACAGGCTGAACCACCAAACCCGGCTTGTACCACATTTTTAAAATCCAGTCCTCTTTTGATGGGTAGCATGATTGGTTCCATGTTCTTGCTACTGTGAACAATAATGCGATAAACATGCGTGTGCATGTGTCTTTTTTATAGAGTGATTTGAGTTCTTTCAGGTATATTTCCAGTAGGAGGATTGCGGGGTCATATGGAAGGTCGATTTTTAGATCTTTTAGAAATCGCCACACTGTTTTCCACAGAGGCTGTACTAGTTTACACTCCCACCAACAGTGTAGAAGTGTTCCATTTCACTGCATCCTCTCCAGCATCTGTTGTTTTTTGAGTTATTGATGATAGCCATCCTGACTGGATATGGTGGTATCTTAGTGCAGTTTTAATTTGCATTTCTTTGATGACTAGTGAGGCTAAGCATTTTTTCATGTATCTGTTGGCTGCTCATATGTCTTCTTTTGAGAAGTGTCTATTCATATCTTTTGCCCACTTTGTAATGGGACGAATTTCTCCTTTCTTAGCTAAAGCTGTTTATTCTTTTTCAAATTATTTTTTTTTAGAGAAAAGGGCCTCACTATGTTGCCCAGTCTGGGCTCGAACTCCTGGGTGCAAGCAATATTCCTGCCTCAGCCTCCCAAGTAGCTGGGACTACAGCATGTATCACAGTGCCTGGGTTTATTTATGCTTTTTTGTGGGGGCGGGGGTGTATAAACAAGAGAGATGTCTCACAGTTCTGGAAGTTGGGAAGTCCAAGATCAAAGCATAGATATAATGTCTAGTGAGGGTCCACTTCCTCATTCATAGATGACATCTTCTTACTGTGTCCTCATATACTGAAAGCTGTTTATTCTTTTTTTTTTTTTTTTGAGTGAGAGTCTTACTCTGTTGTCTAGGCTGGAGGAGTGCAGTGGCACTTCAGGCCACCGCAGCCTCAACCTGCTGGACTCAGGCAATCCTTCTGCCTCAGCCTTCCAAGTAGCTGGAATTACAGGCGTGTGCCACCACACCTGGCTAATTTTTTGACTTATTGTAGAGACAAGGTCTCACCATGTTGCTCAGGCTGGTCTTGAGCTCCTGAACTCAGGCAATCCTCTCGCCTCCACCTCCCTAAGTGCTGGGATTACAGACATGAGCCACCATGCCCAGCCAAACTGTTTATTCTTACAAAGAAACAGAGAGAGGTGAGGGGAGAGAGAAAAAAAGTTAATTTCATAGTACAGTTATCTTAAACTTTGATGTGTATCAGAATCACCTAGAGTGACTAGTAATGAACTTATGTCAAGGTTTATTTAAGTAGGATAGAACATAGGCTTGCCTAGAACTCTCCCTAAATTATTTAAGAACCACTCTTGCAGGGTGCAGTGGCTCATGCCCCTAATCCCAGCACTTTGGGAGGCCAAGGTGAGAGGATTGCTTGAGCCTAGGATTCAAGACCAGCCTGGGCAATTTGGTGAGACCTCGCCTCTACAATAAATCAAGAAAAATTAGCCAGGCATGATGGCGCATGCCTGTAGTTTCAGCTACTTGGAAGGCTGAGGCGGAAGGATTGCCGGAGCCCAGCAGGTAGAGGATGTGGTGGCTAGGAGCGTGTCACTGCACTCCAACCTGGGTGAAAGAGTGAGACTCCAACTCAAAAAAAAAAAAAAAAATTGCCAGGCTTGGTGGCTCAACCTGTAATCCCAGCATGTTGGGAGGCTGAGTGAGTGGATTGCCTGAGCCCATGGGTTCAAGACCTGCCTGGGCAACTTAGTGAGACCTTATCTCTACAATAAATCAAAAAACTAGCCAGTCATGGTAGCACGCACCTGTATTTCCAGCTACTTGGAAGACTGAGGTGGAAGGACCGCCGGAGCCCAGCAGGTTGAGGCTGTGGTGGCCGGGAGCGGCCACTGCACTCCAGTCTGGGTGACAGAGTGAGACTCCAACTCAAAAAAAAAAAAAAATCAGCAAATAAATAGTATTTCTACCATTGAAAAATATTGTCACATGAATAATGAAAACTGGAATTTCTGTGCTCCTTGAAACTCTTAGAGCTGGAAAAAAATGATGCTGTTGAATAAAATCAACTGAATTGTTCAATGAAATACCATTTGCTTTACACCATAAATATATCTCATTTAATCTTCACAGCTACCCTATGAAAGAGACACTGTTCGGGTGGGTGCAGTGAATCAAGCCTATAATCCCAGCACTTTGGGAGGCAGAAGGGAGAGAATTGCCTAAGTTTAGGGGTTCGAGACCAGGCTGAGCAACATGGCAAGACCTCATCTCTACAATAAATCAAAAAATTAGCTGGTTGTGGTGTCACATGCCTGTGGTTCCAGTTTCTTGGAAGGCTGAGGTGGAAGGATCACTTGAGCCTAGAAGACTGAGGCTGTGGTAGCCGTGAGCATGCCACTGCACTCCAGCCTGGGCCGCACAATGAAACTCCGACTCAAAGAAAAGGAAAGAAAGAGACACTGTTATCCCAGTTTGACCCAAAAGAGGAAGCTGATGTACAGCAAGATTAAGTAGTTTACCTAACATCAAAACACATTAGAGACATAATTTGAACCTAGAAAGAGTGGCTCCAAATCATATACTTTTTGTTTTGTTTTGGCTTTGAGTTGGGGTCTCACTCTGTCACCCAGGCTGGAGTGCAGTGGCATGCTCATGGCCACTGCAGCCTCAACCTGTTGGGCTCAGGCGATCTTTCTGCCTCAGCCTTCCAAGTAGCTGGAACTACTGGCATGCGCTACCATCCTAGCTAATTTTTTTATTTATTGCCGAGATAAGATCTTGTCAAGTTGCCCAGGCTGGTCTTGAACCCCTGGGCTCAGGTAATCCTCTTGCGTTGGCCTCTCAAAGTGCTGGGATTACAGACTTGAGCCAACACACCCACCCCAAACCATATATACTCTTATTTTGAGTTGAAGTCTCACTTCTTCATCCAGGCTGATGTGCAGTGGCATGCATGCTCATAGTCACCCCAGCATCGATCTTCTGGGCTCTGGTGATCCTTCCACCTCACTCTTCCAAGTAGCCAGAACTATAGATGTGCACTACCACACTCAGCTATTTTTAATTTTATTGTAGAGATGAGGTCTCATCAAGTTGCCAGGTCTGATCTCAAACCCACGGGCTCAGGCAATCCACTCGCCTCGGCCTCCCAAAGTGCTGGGATTACAGGCTGAGCCACAGAGCCCAACCAACCATATACTCTTTTTTTTTTTTTTTTTTTTTTTTTTT